AGCACCATTGGATCAAGGCATTATCTAACGAATGATGAGCTTTAAAAGATTTCATCAAGTTGATAAGATCTTGGTTTCAGAGGTTTTGTCAGAATCGGTGTTTCAACTCAATAGATGGCGCTGCGAGTAAGAAACTCTGTCCAATAATTTGGCAAAGGTTGCTCTATATTGTGGTCAAATTTCGTAAAGAACGGTTGCGTCCTCTCAGAGATATGAGCGTTCAAAGATGTACAATTTAAATGAAACGCCCTGTATATCTCAGTTTCATAGTTCCCCTCTTTCTCACCGTGTTTCTTTTTTACATTGTTTTACCTGCACTTACATTCACCTTTTACCTGTACTTCACAATTTTTTACCTTCGGGGTACCTTTTACATCCGATTTACAGTCTCTTTTTACATATGATATAATGTTAAACTTATATGATTGGAATAATATCAACCCTCATGTCACGAATAAAATAAGTTGCTGTGGTTCCAGACAAAGAATACAAGCTTAACTTACAAGAAATTCGCATGAAATTTTTGCAAACATTTATTTACGGGGTACATAAGAGTCTTTCCATGTCAAGTGGTCCAATGGTGGTTGCTGCACTGACTGGGATTTCGCTATTAAAAATCATGTGTGCAGTGGGTTATGAGAAACGGATAAATCCGTATTTTCAGCTGTCTAGGTCCAACAGTTCAGGAGACATGCACTTTGAAAGTTTGAGAGGGAAAGGTAAAATGACCCCTCAAACAAATGCCATATCTCCCAAACTACTTCAGTTAGAAATATGAATAATATCTCCTTTCAAAGCGAGTAGCCAGGCAACTTTAACTTTTTCTACGGGTTCTTCCATGCCCTAATTCATGATATAATGCAATTTTCAACTTTGAAAAATTCGCAGTAAAAAGGCACATAACTCCATTAGCTTTGGGGTGTCTATCATTCTCTTTGAGATATTCTCAGTACTCAAGGCTATTGGACGCTCCAACATTTATTTACATCTTCCTCACCTTAAGTGTTATAGTACAAGAAAAAAAACTCAGCTCAATGATGGCGGCGGACCGCAAAACCTCGCAGAGAATGGGTTAAATACAAGGATATGTACAGTTGTTACACCAACAGAGCGCATTATTGACAGAACTACGTCTGCATTTAACTGAGACTCATTGATTTCCCCTTGCGTAATTCATTTCATTTGTTTCTCATCTTAAGATCCTGGATGAATACAAATATTTAACACTTTCGCTCCAGAGGGCATGCGAACGAGGTTTTATGAGGTCTATCAAAATAATCCTAACATCGGAACACAAAGTGATAGAGACTTCCACTTGATTGGGAACGAAGAATAAGTTCCCTATTTTTTGTGTTAAATTACTTCTGCATTTTAAAAATGTCAAAGAACGCATTATTACGTGCATCCTCGTCCGTAACATTTACGTCCGTCAGATCGAAATTGTTAAACTCTATTCTCGTTACTCCTCTCAAAACTGAGGAGCGTATACACGTCCCGCCTGATTCTGAGGAGGTTCCATGCGCGAAAGTACCTGTAGTTATGGTGGGTGTTACTGCAATGGAAGAATTGCGTCTCCCAAATATCTTTGAATCTCTGCGTCCTTGCTTTCCAAAGTGGCATGATCATCTGATTCTGAGGAGGTTCCATGCGCGAAAGTACCTGTAGTTATGGTGGGTGTTACTGCAATGGAAGAATTGCGTCTCCCAAATATCTTTGAATCTCTGCGTCCTTGCTTTCCAAAGTGGCATGATCACAATTTGCCTCTACTTTCGCAACAGATACCACGTATTAACATCTTACGTTTTTCATAATAGCTTTAAAAAAAAACTCCTTCATTTTTTATTAATAATTTTTAATAATACGCGTACATAAACAATCCTATGAGAAGTGAGAGTTCTATGTGGAACCTAAGAATTTAAATTCTCCATAGATGTCCCACATGAGTGCTTTACTTGTTTCATTGGTGCTAATAGAATTAAAGAGTTCTCTGGAAAAAGGGCATGTGTGCCCATACACCCGTATGGACGCATACGCCCTTTTCCCAAAGAACTCCTCAACTATGGGAACCCGAGATGGAGTTAATGACAATAACTTTATCGTTTTATTATCCCTATATCGAGTGAAGCCCCTATTTGAATCATGCTTCCTCCACGATTAACTAAAGGGTCTCTTTGGACTGCTTAATTTGTTTCAACAAATGAACTGAGAAAGTCGAATGTCTTCCTTCACTTTCTTTATGGAAATGGATCAAGTACCGTAAGAAAGGTACTGGGGTCTTAAATTAATGAATCACTTCTTGATCCGACTGAAAAGGCGGCCGCATAGTCGCCATCTCGCATATGTTGTGGGAAGCTTTTTGTTCAAGTAACTGAGATAGATGTCGCATTCTGAGTCATGACACATGTTGGCTGCCATCCTAGCCCCAATGTGGGGCCATCACGGGCAGCCCACTGCGATGTTGGGCCAATTTTCCCCACTCGCAGCCAATGCGGGGCCAATATCGGCAAGCCCGGCATTGAGGGCAGCTTCGGATAGCGACATTGTGCAGCTGAGAAAGGCAAAGAGGTGCAAGTACCTCGTGCAGCTGTTCGGTTGCGGTTATCAGTGAAAAAATATTGAGGTGGGCCTTAAAGACAAACACGGTCTGTTGTCGCAACTGTGCCACGACCTGCACATACCCGAGAAAGTCCCCTTTCACATGGAGATCTACGACGAAGAATGTAATGAGTTCGTCGAGGTGGACTTGACTCGGCTGCCCGACGAGGCGAAGNTTGCAAACATTTATTTACGGGGTACATAAGAGTCTTTCCATGTCAAGTGGTCCAATGGTGGTTACTGCACTGACTGGGATTTCGCTATTAAAAATCATGTGTGCAGTGGGTTATGAGAAACGGATAAATCCGTATTTTCAGCTGTCTAGGTCCAACAGTTCAGGAGACATGCACTTTGAAAGTTTGAGAGGGAAAGGTAAAATGACCCCTCAAACAAATGCCATATCTCCCAAACTACTTCAGTTAGAAATATGAATAATATCTCCTTTCAAAGCGAGTAGCCAGCAACTTTAACTATTTCTACGGGTTCTTCCGTGCCCTAATTCATGATATAATACAATTTTCAACTTTGAAAAATTCGCAGTAAAAAGGCACATAACTCCATTAGCTTTGGGGTGTCTATCATTCTCTATGAGATATTCTCTGTACTCAAGGCTATTGGACGCTCGAACATTTATTTACATCTTCCTCACCTTAAGTGTTACAGTACAAGAAAAAAAACTCAGCTGAATGATGGCGGCGGACCGCAGACCTCGCAGAGAATGGGTTAAATACAAGGATATGTACAGTTGTTACACCAACAGAGCGCATTATTGACAGAACTACGTCTGCGTTTAACGGAGACTCATTGATTTCCCCTTGCGTAATTCATTTCATTTGTTTCTCATCTTAAGATCCTGGATGAATACAAATATTTAACACTTTCGCTCCAGAGGGCATGCGAACGAGGTTTTATGAGGTCTATCAAAATAATCCTAACATCGGAACACAAAGTGGTAGAGACTTCCACTTGATTGGGAACGAAGAATAAGTTCTCTATTTTTTGTGTTAAATTACTTCCGCATTTTAAAAATGTCAAACAACGCATTATTACGTGCATCCTCGTCCGTAACATTTACGTCCGTCAGATCGAAAGTGTTAAACTCTTTTCTCCTTACTCCTCTCAAAACTGAGGAGCGTATACACGTCCCGCCTGATTCTGAGGAGGTTCCATGCGCGAAAGTACCTGTAGTTATGGTGGGTGTTACTGCAATGGAAGAATTGCGTCTCCCAAATATCTTTGAATCTCTGCGTCCTTGCTTTCCAAAGTGGCATGATCATAATTTGCCTCTACTTTCGCAACAGATACCATGTATTAACATCTTACGTTTTTCATAATAGTTTAAAAAAAAACTCCTTCATTTTTTATTAATAATTTTTAATAATACGCGTACATAAACAATCCTATGAGAAATGAGAGTTCTATGTGGAACCTAAGAATTTAACTTCTCCATAGATGTCCCACATGAGTGCTTTACTTGTTTCCTTGGTGCTAATAGAATTAAAGAGTTCTCTGGAAAACGGGCATGTGTGCCCATACACCCGTATGGACGCAGACGCCCTTTTCCCAGAGAACTCCTCAACTATGGGAACCCAAGATGGAGTTAATGACAATAACTTTATCGTTTTATTATCCCTATATCGAGTGAAGCCCCTATTTGAATCATGCTTCCTCCACGATTAACTAAAGGGTCTCTTTGGACTGCTTAATTTGTTTCAACAAATGAACTGAGAAATTCGAATGTCTTCCTTCACTTTCTTTATGGAAATGGATCAAGTACCGTAAGAAAGGTACTGGGGTCTTAAATTAATGAATCACTTCTTGATCCGACTGAAAAGGCGGCCGCATAGTCGCCATCTCGCATATGTTGTGGGAAGCTTTTTGTTCAAGTAACTGAGATAGATGTCGCATTCTGAGTCATGACAAATGTTGGCTGCCGTCCTAGCCCCAATGTGGGGCCATCACGGGCAGCCCACTGCGATGTTGGGCCAATTTTCCCCACTCGCAGCCAATGCGGGGCCAATATCGGCAAGCCCGGCATTGAGGGCAGCTTCGGATAGCGACATTGTGCAGCTGAGAAAGGCAAAGAGGTGCAAGTACCTCGTGCAGCTGTTCGGTTGCGGTTATCAGTGAAAAAATATTGAGGTGGGCCTTAAAGACAAACACGGTCTGTTGTCGCAACTGTGCCACGACCTGCACATACCCGAGAAAGTCCCCTTTCACATGGAGATCTACGACGAAGAATGTAATGAGTTCGTCGAGGTGGACTTGACTCGGCTGCCCGACGAGGCGAAGCTATGGCTGCGCTTCGAGGGATCCAATGAGGTCAGCGCGGTTCGGGTCGTTCCGTTGGGTAGGTGTCGCGGGATTCCAGCGTCTTTCGTGAAAAAGGGCGAGAGAATTACCTTTTTTTAAATCGTTGCTGGGGTTGTTCTGGGACTCTCCATTGCAGCTCGTTCGCTGCCGTGTTTTCTGGCAACTCGGTTCGATATATAAGGACGGGTGTTTAACTAATAAAAGTCTCTGCTGATGTCGAATAAATAAATAATAAAAATTGCTGGAAACCGTCTAACTAGGCAAGTTTGTTATACGTGAGTGATCGCGAAGAATCGCAAATACTCCTGCTTCCCACGTCAGAATACATGCTTTGGGAATGCTTTCCTTGAGCACATTTAATATCATATCTTGAGAGGATCGAGAGCCATGTCGGTGCTCTCTTCTGTTACGAACCTATCCGGATCCATATATGGCTTTGAATGGAAAAGAGTCGTTTTCGAATAATGAACGCAAGCAAGGAAAACCCATATAAGACGGTAATTTACTTCCGTGAACGGAAACGCAATTTAGACTATCGATTGGAACTTTCCGGGAAATGAGAGGAAAGCTCCATTACTCTCTTTAGTCGAAGGTTTTCTTCAGAACAGATGTTTACGCTAAAAAATAGTAAACATCGTTTCCGCTATGAATCGGAATCCTCTTCTCCGCGAATCCCTGTTTCAGATGCGTTGGTCGGAATGATTTTTTACAGTGCAGAATGTTCACTCTCCCAGACAAAAATCTCAGACTCCTCTGCGTAGATTCCATGAGGGAAAATCATGAAGTCGAATCATGACTGCGCATATAATTTAGCCTCGATTCTCCAAACTCAGGTGGAGAGCGACGCAAAGGATGAGATAGATGACGAAACAGGAGGAACTACCCAGGGGGGATTGAAAAAAAAGGGGGGAATGAAATTCACATATTCCAAAAGTGGGATTCAGTGTTTTCCACAACCTTGGGGAGATGGAGCTTGAAATTTGCTGTGTTTGGTGCTGTTTTTGCTGAATCTTTGTTTACAGCAGAAGAAACATGCCTAATTTCGTTCGTGTTGATGCTCTCAGAGAGGAATACGAAAAGGTTGAATTTTGCTAAGGCGCTACCTAAACCTTTTGATAACTCAAAAAATATGGGATACCAGTTTGTTTGCCCTTCTGGAAAACGAACTAGCAACGGTCGCGCCTATGGCGCTCAATGGTCCAGGTTAGTAATTTATTCATTAATTTCTTTTCCAAATGGTAAAAACATTAAAAGTATGTGCTTGTCAAAATGTGTGCCGAAAAAGAACGACCCGATATTTTCAGCGAAGTTTTTATTTATTGCGTGTCTAACTTAAAATCTCTTCATAATCTACATAAGGGATCATATTTGAAAAGTAGGATATGTACTCAGCATTCGAACAGGTAGTTCTGGTCCAATTTTCAACTTTCTTAAGTTCTCTCTTTCACTGGATAAAAACATATGCCGGAAAATGCTCCTATTGCAAAAAAAATTACCCTCAGGGATTCTACCTAAAAAGTTAACATTTTTACTGAAATAAGTACTCGGAGGACTACTTGTCTACCAAGTTTCATCCTAATACGTTTGATGTTTTCGCTGTTGTAAAAATATCTTTGGAAAAGCTGACGCAGCCAAACCTGTACCCTGAGGGTATGCACCACAAAACAATACATTTTTCCATATTCACCATCACCTCAGTTATTGTTGTGCCAAGTTTCAGTTTTCTATTTTAGTCAAATTTTGGCAGTAAAAAAAATTATTTAAAAAGTCACCCCCAAAAAATATGACCCCAGGGCGTGCATCCGAAACGTGACATTTCCCTAAAATCAGAGTCTCAGTAGACATGTCCATGTCAAGTTTCAAATTCCCATGTTTATCCATTTGACTGAATGAAATATACCGCGTGTTGCACATAGATAGCCACCCTCTCCCCTCCACAACCTAAACTATAGGAAGTAGAACAATTTTTAACGATATATTTGGAATCCTTGTTCAATTTTGGTTCTTTTCTAAGCCGTTTTGTTTGTTTCTGATGTCGTACGATGCTGAAAAACTTATATTCATTCATCGCATCCGTGCTATTACGTTTTGAGAAGCTTGTGATTCCAGAGATTAATTCGTAACCCATTCATGGGTTTCGGAAAAGATTAAACGTTCACCTTCATCCTGATGAAACACTGTTTTTCAAAGCTTTGACCACACAACTCAAAACTCAGGGATTAATTTCTTTTGAAATGCGGACTTGCCGGGAGACTCTTCTGATCTGAATGGGGCTGAGAACATCAAAGTAATCCTCAAAGATCAAACTGAAGTTCTCATGTAAAGGGTGGCCCAAAAAAAAGTGCACCTATTTTCAAATGGCACTATTTATGCTAGCGACATGAAAGAAAAAGAAAACGAAAGTTCAATTAATTTCCTATCGAATGGTATATGGTTATATGACCTTAGCTCCCATACTATGACTGCCATACCCATTTTTAAAAAACGTACCACCAAAAAATGTTGCGCGGCGTGAAAAATTAGAAATTTCATCGTGTCTTCGCATTGCAAGAGTTCAAAAACATGAAATTGTGCCCCAGGGAATTTACCTCCAAAGTCAGAATTTCTCTGAATTCAGGTTCGCAATAGGTACTATATCAAGTTCCACGTGTCTATGCCCAATTCGGTAGGACAAAATAAATTATTTTAAAAAGTCACCCCCAAAATAGGTGCACCCAGGAGCTCCACACTCGGATTTTTTCTGAACTCTGCATCCCAAAGGTACATGTGTACCAAGTTTCGGATTTCTGACTTCTCTAGAACATAGAATTAGTGTCAGTCAATCACTCAGTCACACACGATCGTCTATACATACCTGTATATAGATAGAATAATGAGTTTCATGGTAAGTGAGAGCCCCTTTCTCCAAAAACGTTTTCCCTGTACAGTTCCGCACGGGGCCCATTGAATGCTCTGCAGATATTCAATCAGTATTCGATCTCTAACCATGTCCTGGTCCGCATCTCAGGCGACACAGTGTCAAGTGCTCCTGGAATTCTATCATTCGGGGTATGCACGTTGTCAACCTTAGAGTTGTGCACAAGGATCATGACATAAATCCCAAAGAAGAAGTGATGGAAGTTGAAGAATTCGTCGGGGGAAGGGGATGAGACCCCCACTCCTAGTCCAATGTTTCTTCAGAATTTCAGGGAAATTTTCAGAGAAAAATAGAAATAGTGAAATATAAATAAAAACTTGCATAAGCAAAATGTCTACACGGGTCAGAGATTCACCTGGTAAGAAAAGCTTTATGACCATAACTTTCATTGAGCACAAACCTATGTTCTCCTTTTCTATACTCTCCAAGTTATAACAATATAAAACTAGGGACACCTTTTCCGGACACCCTTTACTTTATTGATTTTGGCTTTAGTTCCAAAATCCTTACGTGATATGGGACTTCTTTCAAGTAGGATTTTTTTTTCACAGGGAAGGGATTTCTAAGGGGAGAAGTTTCACGTTTCTTTATCACCATTGGAATGGAGCACGTCAGAGAGATTGATTATTAATAATCAGAGAACGGGGATCCTGTATCGCGTGATCTGATTGCGCCATGAAAAGTGAACTTTGCGATATTCCTCGCAGTTTTGCCTTATTTTTCTTTTGAATGTGTCCAAAACGTCAATTTCCATTCTCTTCTGCGATGTATTTTGAAAAACGAAGCCAACTTTTATTCGATTCCAACACCCAGGAAAGACAATGATGATGAATGGCCGTGATGAATGATGATGAATGAACGTGTATGGTGTCCGCTGGGAGGATAACTTCCAGTTGATGCTCATCACCGAGAAGGGCAACGTAACCGCGGATGACATGGCCCAAAGACAGACGAAAGGGCTCTCCGCCTATTCCTTCAACTGGCAAGAGGGGATGAGGAATCCTTTAGACGCTTATTGTCATTAACACTACGGGCTTCGGAGACTCCGAGGGCATCCATAAGGATGAGGAACTTGCAAAGTCCATTTTCGGCTCAAGAAAAATATATATTGTGTTGCCTAGGAAAAGGGAGGTTCACATTACCTTGACTGTGATAGTATGGGCCCTCTTATTGTCAAAAGCTGAAAAGTTTTAATATTTTCTTACTTCTCATTCCTTTTCCTTTTTTAACAAGAATTTTTATTATTGCATTTTATTCTCTCAAGAGAGTAAATGTATAAAGCTTTTCAAACTAACTTTCGGATGACTATGTGAAAGTTATATTTTGTAAATTCACAGAGCAAAATTGGTTCCTCCGACAGATACGGGAGTTCTTTGAGCAATGTGATCCACATGGTTTGGACTACGTTAATGCCGTGGCATTCGTACTGCCCTCTTACACTGCTATGCTGACGACCTCGCAGAAGTATATTTTTCACGCCATTACCCGATTGTTCGGCATCGACATGAAGGAGAAGTTCGCGCTTCTTCGCAGCTTCTGCGACGGGCAGGAACCAGCTGCCATCGTCCTCGTGAGGAATGCCAACCTGTTCTACTAGGACTATCATCCTTTCAACCACTCTGCCCTCTTTGGCAGCACTAAGAATCCCATGCAAAATATGTTCTGGGACTTGGGACTCAGAAGCAACAAGGCTTTCTTGGAGTCTTTGGGAGAGATGACGCCGGTTGGCCTTGCCATGACGAAGGAGGTGCTTCACGAAAGACAAGCTCTGTCAGAGAACCTGAAAAAATTGGAGGACCAAGTCCCAATAGGTGAGAGAATTCCCGATGAACTGAGGGGCATTTCTACAGGTTTCATTTCTTTGGAGCATTGATGACGCTCTTTGTGCAAGTTTTATATGTGTGATAATTGTTGTGTAAGAGTAAAATCTCGCCAAAGGTTTAGCTTCCAATTTAAAAAAAAATTCCCGCAAATGAGAATGCGAAAACGTGATATGAATTCTCTGTTCTTTAACTTCATCCAATAACTTTTTCTTAAATTTGTCAATCGTAAGTAATTACTGCATAAGACCGCGAATTGGATGCTAGTCTCGCCGTAGTGCCAGCCATTAGAGGCACATATATCCAGGCATCTTTTGATGTTCCACTTCTCTCTCATTCCACGTTTTATATCTTCTGTTACTTTGCAGTAAGATTCATAAGTCGGCGCACCCGAATGAGTCTCGCTGCTGGATTGCGATATGACAAGCTTGATAATTCTTCAATTGCTTACATTCTTTTCGTTGTCATTACCGCTGCATCCGACTTAATTTTTCTTCAGGAACAATACCGTCTCCTCAGAGAAAAGAGGGAGGAGGTGACTAAGTTCGTAGATGTCGCGGAAGAACAAGTGAAAATCCTACTTGACAAGGAGAGAGCCATCAACTGCAAAGACTGCAAGAAGACCACCTGCATATTCCCGGCAACGATTTTCGAGCAAAAATACATTAAGTACAGCAGTTGCATGACTAGGAACGAACAGAAGATGGTGATATGCAGTATATGCGGCTGCTCCTGGAAGAGTCACTCTCTGGAAGCGAAACGCTATGAAGGAAAGTCGATATACAGGCTTAAGACTCAAGAAAACTCGGCAAGTGTTGTTAATCAGATTAGGACCCAAGTGATTCTTGAGAAGAAAGAGTTGGAACTGACCACTAAAATTAAGAAAAATCAAGTGGAGTTGTTCGCCCATATCCAGGAGGCTCATAAGACCACCGCCTGTCTGAAGGAAATTGCTCTTAACCCGAATCATTTGGCCATGGAAGAATACCTCGACTTCCTAATCGAAGCAGAGGAAAAAGATGCCCAATATGATTTTAAGAAGCGGATCGAGCACTTGGACCAAGCGAAGAGAGCAATTGTTTTATGGAAGCATGTCTTGGATGAGAACGGTTCCGATGAAGCCATTGTGCCTGACGTTATGACCATATTGGACCAAGAAAGTATTGATTTTGAGTCGCTGGGGGTAGTGGTAACTCCAGATGCAGCAATTGAACAGTCAAGCAGCATGGTTAGAACCCTTAAGGCTTTCTTCATCTCCGTCTTTGGGAAGAATTCAAAGAAGACATGAATCGAACCATCATACTCTTAATACTATTTATTTCAGAAGGCATTTGCTAACCAATATATTCACTCCAAGTTAAATGTTATTGACTGTTATGCGTGCACGTGAAACTCCTCAATACGCAGCTAAACGCTACAATGAGGATAATTATGGGCACCCTCAAATTCAAATCCATTCCACTCCCAGTTTTTGCCAAAATAGCACCAGCCCACCTCCGGAAGCGGTTTATGTCAGAGTAACACGAAACTCTCAATAACCCAAACCTACCAATCAACCAAGACCAAGCAAATACACCGGCCAACCGTTTGAAATCCAGGAAGCCTTTCTGGAATGAGGCAAAGAGACTCCACGAGGCAAATACTTCGACTGAAGAACGCTGGCGAAGTGATTGGGCTAGCACAAACCTACTGCAAAGATACCCCATCACCGACCCAACAACGAAGCCACCTGGCTTCTCTCTACCAAGAAAACCATGGTCCCCCATCAACTTCATCGGAACTCTCCATGGACGCTGCAGCCACCTGTTCCATAAGTGGAGAAAAAAGAAATCCTAAATGTGATTGTGGCACACAAAGCCAAACCATCCAAAATATTGTGAACGATTGTCCAATTAGAGCATTCAAACGTGGCATAAACTATAAGGGTAGCCCAAATGAAAGTGGGATTGTCGTGAGTCCGCCGTCGCTTGAAGATGCAGAACGCTGCGCATGCGGAGCATGGAAGCAAGGTCACCGCCTACTGTTCGTATCATGGATGCCTCCAAACGCAGTCAACGTGNTCCTAGCCCCAATGTGGGGCCATCACGGGCAGCCCACTGCGATGTTGGGCCAATTTTCCCCACTCGCAGCCAATGCGGGGCCAATATCGGCAAGCCCGGCATTGAGGGCAGCTTCGGATAGCGACATTGTGCAGCTGAGAAAGGCAAAGAGGTGCAAGTACCTCGTGCAGCTGTTCGGTTGCGGTTATCAGTGAAAAAATATTGAGGTGGGCCTTAAAGACAAACACGGTCTGTTGTCGCAACTGTGCCACGACCTGCACATACCCGAGAAAGTCCCCTTTCACATGGAGATCTACGACGAAGAATGTAATGAGTTAGTCGAGGTGGACTTGACTCGGCTGCCCGACGAGGCGAAGCTATGGCTGCGCTTCGAGGGATCCAATGAGGGTCGAATTAATAAATAATAAATATTGCTGGAAACCGTCTAACTAGGCAAGTTACGTGAGTGATCGCGAAGAATCGCTAATACTCCTGCTTCCCAAGTCAGAAGACATGCTTTGGGAATGTATTTCTTGAGCACATTTAATTTCATATCTTGAGAGGATCGAGAGCCATGTCGGTGCTCTCTTCTGTCACGAACCCATCCGGATCCATATATGGCGTTGAATGGAAAGGAGTCGTTTTCGAATAAGGAACGCAAGTAAGGAAAACCCATACAAGACGGTAATTTACTTCCGTGAACGGAAACCCAATCCCGACTATCGATTGGAACTTTCCGGAAAATGAGAGGAAAGCTCCATTACTCTCTTTAGTCGAAGGTTTTCTTCAAAACAGATGTTTACGCTAAAAAATAGTAGACATGGTTTCCGCTATGAATCGGAATCCCCTTCTCCGCGAATTTGACGGAATCCAATTCAAATTGGATGCTAGTCTCGCCGTAGCGCAAGCCACTAGAGGCACATATATCCAGGCATCTTTTGATGTTCCACTTCTCTCTCATTCCAGGTTTTATATCTTCTGTTACTTTGGAGTAAGATTCATAAGTCGGCGCACCCGAATGAGTCTCGCTATTGGGTTGCGATATGACAAGCTTGATTATTCTTCAATTGCTGACATTCTTTTCGTTGTCTTTACCGCTGCATCCGACTTAATTTTTCTTCAGGAACAATACCCTCTCCTCAGAGAAGAGAGGGAGGAGGTGACTAAGTTCGTAGATGTCGCGGAAGAACAAGTGAAAATCCTACTTGACAAGGAGAGGGCCATCAACTGCAACGACTGCAAGAAGACCACCTGCATATTCCCGGCAACGATTTTCGAGCAAAAATACATTAAGTACAGCAGTTGCATGACTAGGAACGAACAGAAGAAGGTGATATGCAGTATATGCGGCTGCTCCTGGAAGAGTCACTCTCTGGAAACCAAACGCTATGAAGGAAAGTCGATATACAGGCTTAAGACTCAAGAAAACTCGGCAAGTGTTGCTTATCAGATTAGGACCCAAGTGATTCTTGAGAAGAAAGAGTTGGAACTGACCACTAAAATTAAGAAAAACCAGGTGGAGTTGTTCGCCCATATCCAGGAGGCTCATAAGACCACCACCTGTCGGAAGGAAATTGCTCTTAACCCGAATCATTTGGCCATGGAAGAATACCTCGACTTCCTAATCGAAACAGAGAAAAAAGATGACCAATATGATTTTAAGAAGCGGATCGAGCACTTGGACCAAGCGAAGAGAGCAATTGTTTTATGGAAGCATGTCTTGGATGAGAACGGTTCCGATGAAACCATTGTGCCTGACGTTATGACCATATTGGATCAAGAAAGTATTGATTTTGAGTCGCTGGGGGTAGTGGTAACTCCAGATGCAGCAATTGAACAGTCAAGCAGCATGGTTAGAACCCTTAAGGCTTTCTTCATCTCCGTCTTTGGGAAGAATTCAAAGAAGACATGAATCGAGCCTTCATACTCTTAATAATATTTATTTCAGAAGGCATTTGCAAACCAATATATTCACTCCAAGTTAAATGTTATTGACTGTTATGCGTGCACGTGAAACTCCTCAATACGCAGCTAAACGCTACAATGAGGATAATTATGGGCACCCTCAAATTCAAATCCATTCCACTCCCAGTTTTTGCCAAAATAGCACCAGCCCACCTCCGGAAGCGGTTTATGTCAGAGTAACACGAAACTCTCAATAACCCAAACCTACCAATCAACCAAGACCAAGCAAATACACCGGCCAACCGTTTGAAATCCAGGAAACCTTTCTGGAATGAGGCAAAGAGACTCCACGAGGCAAATACTTCGACTGAAGAACGCTGGCGAAGTGATTGGGCTAGCACAAACCTACTGCAAAGATACCCCATCACCGACCCAACAACGAAGCCACCTGGCTTCTCTCTACCAAGAAAACCATGGTCCCCCATCAACCTCATCGGAACTCTCCATGGACGCTGCAGCCACCTGTTCCATAAGTGGAGGAAAAAAAATCCTAAATGTGATTGCGGCACACAAAGCCAAACCATCCAACATATTGTGAACGACTGTCCAATTAGAGCATTCAAACGTGGCATAAACTACATCTATTCAGCAGCACCAAGAACAATCGAATGGTTTGCTAACCTAGACATTGAACTTCAATTGTTGCTACCCAAAACGCTATGCGAAAGAAGTGATTGACCGCGCTCTCCCGGATCTAATGCGTTGCAGCTCTGCATCCTGTGGTGATGTGATGGAGTAAGGTGGCGATTTTCGCCAGCTTCTCCCAATTGCCCCAAAGACATTGCGCGGCCAGACTTTTGTTAAATGCATGAATATTAGTACGCTTTGGGAACATTTTCATACATTTCATTTAACCACAAATATGCGAGCAAACGCCGATGAGGTAGAGTTTGACAGTGGTTGCAAGAGCTCGGGTATGACGCAATTCCCAGGGCTATGAGCCGAACATCAGAAATATCTGTGCGTCTCACCGATCTTTGCCTAACATACAACTTGGTGAAGGAAGTGTTTGGTCGAGAGTATCGCGTTAGCGATGCAGAATTGCTGAGTCGGCGCGCAAATTCGTGCCCGAAAAATGGGCATTCCTCTTTCATGAACGAAGCATGTTCTGTCCCGTTTGGAAGGTGCATCGAGAACATACAAGAGCTCTGACAGTGTAAAGGCAGATCAGTGTGAAGACGATGATCGAGAACAGGTCGACTTCCCTGTCGAGTTCCTCAATTCGTTCAACCCGAATATTTTACCGCCTCATAAAGAGATCTCATGATGTCTTAAAGTCCCACGGTAGCAGTACGAGGAAGCGTTAGACAGATAACTTTTGCCGTAAACGTTACCGTGAGCCAACTAACGTACTCTATACCTTCTATTGCAGTAGTCTCTCTACACGCGCCGCACCTTTGAAAGTATTCATACCACGAGTGTCACTGAACACAGAGACAGATCCGAGTATTTCCTTCAAGAAGTGCCAAAAAAAGATTCCCATTTCTTTTGGCTTACGGTATGGCCTTCGACAAAGCTCAGGAACAAACGTTTTACATTGCTGGTCTCTTGCGCCGGAGCCCGTTTTCTCTCACGGTCAGCTATATATTCTGTTCTCTCGAGTCAGGTCTGCCGATTGCCTCAAAATCCTAGTGGTTGAGTGGCAAAGGCAACGCCTTCCTGATAATGGCGTCTCAACCAATAATGTCGTTTACAAAGAAAGAGCTGTAATTTCAAATTCCAATTCCCTTCATGAATCTGTTTTGCTACCAAATTTTGTGTTTTTGATTTCGATTTTCAGAATTGTAATTGCAATCCGTTCTTCTACTAATTTTGCAAATATTTCTGATTTTGTGATAATTTTTATTATATTGATTTCTGAAGTAAGTTATTTTCCCTCTTTTGTCGCTTTTCGAATTTGAAATTA